GCCATTTCCCAGGTCACGAAGGATGCAACAGATGGATCCTTTGCGGCCCAGACTATCACTATTATTCTATTAATATATCACTATATTATGTACATAAATGGACCAAGGAGAACATATTTAGATAGGTTGTGAACCCTGTTTTGTTTTCAGATCTTTCAAAAAAGTCTAGTACAAACTTGATTGCCGCTTGTCAACAACAGCAGCTGTCTCAGTTGCCAAGCAAGAAGAGCAATCCATCATTGGCTAGGCCGTCCGATTTAAACAATACTTGGTTTGGCCTTCACAGACTTCAAAGAATGCAGCCCCTGAATTGGGACATAGACTATGTCATATATAAAATGGTCAAAATAAATGTCTTTGTTTTGGTTAGTAAGCTAATCATCAACATAACCCATGCATTTTACATGCAACCTTCACTGAATCGTGCGCTCTCTGTTAAATATGTGAACATTATGATGTTGAAAGGTACACATTTATTCAATTTTAGTTAGCACAACAGAAAGATACTATGTAGTCAATGTATAATCCAGACAAACTTTTATTAAAATTATATTATTGCCATTGAGGTACTGTTTAATTGTGATTGTATTATCCTGTTGTAGCTGATCAGGTAAACACGAAAGGTTTTAGGCATCAGGCATTAAGAACAGCAACACCTAAGGGTCCAAGGGTGAAAGGATTTGGCAGGGAGCTGCCTAGCAGAGCTACGGAAGAGCGGACACTCACTGTAGTCACTGTAGCCCCCCATGCCACTCTGGTTACCATAACCACCGCTGTAGCCAGAGCCCATCTGTTGGCTGCTGTGTCCATATGACGACTGGTTTCCTGCAGAGCAACAATTACGCATTTATGATAGCTGCTCAGTAAGAGTTACTTATGTCTGAAGGAGAGGTCTTACCCATACTGCCCATCATTTGTCCACCATATCCTCCACTTCCACCCCCTGCCGTGGAGTTTAGGAACAGCTCCACATAACGGTGCTCTGCATGAGAATAAAAGACCATTCACACAAAGAATGATAACTATATTTATTTAGTGTCCACACCAACAGACGATAACATCAAGTGTATTATAAACACATGCCGCAGTTTTGTTGTCTGCCGGTTTAAATGCTAAGTGGATTCTGATTGGCTATCAAAGTTTTCATTATTCATTAGCTTGAAAAGTTGCTTTGAAAGTGATTTATTTCCAACGATATAATTCAAAACTTCATTGTTACAGTTACTGTCCTTGGTGTGAACAGGCCTTTAGTGTTGTCAGTTAGGCTTCAGAATATCATCTATAATAACCAAAGTGTTTTACTAAGGTGTTCAGTTTCATTCAACAGAAAAATGCAGACATTCAAGACCAATTAATAGGATGGAATTTAAAGGGACAGTTCACTCTAAAATGAATTTACTCAACCTGAAGTTGTTCAAAACCTTTATGAATTTCTGCTGACACAAAAGAAGGTTTTTTTTAAAAATGTAAGTAATCAAACAGCAGAATTTTCATTTTTGGGTGAACTATCCCTTTAATGAAAATCATTCAGCATTACCTTTGTTTCCTCTCCTAACACTTACGCATATTGGCTTTGTCCTTGGACATGGCTGCCACAGCGTCCTCGTGTGTAGCAAACTCTACATCCGCCTCGCCTGTTACTCTACCATCAGGACCGATCTCCAGATGAACACGCACTGGGTTCAGTGGAGAGAAGAACTAGAGAGGAAAACATGGAAATAGACAGTAAAGAGGACATTAAATAGGATGCTATGTAATCATATAAACACTTTGTATTAACCGATACAAGTGCACAGACTTGAAATAAACACATATTCGTGTGAATAAGGACTCACATTGTATATGTCAGTCTCAGTGGCTCTGTACGGAAGGCCTCTCATGTGCACACAATGTCCCGTTGTGCTCTGAAAGGAGGAGCCGCTGTCTCCATAACGACCATCTTTAAGGCAAATAAGAACAAGTTAAGAAAAAATATATTCTGCCTGATAAGCCCTTCGCTGTCTGTTTGACTTAACTGTGCAGTATGTTATCTCAACAGAGTAAAATAAAGTTATAAAACAAAGCTCCTTTATTCTTCATTTAGCAGAGGCTTTCTTATCTAAAGTGACATTATTCCAAGGAAAGTCTCCTTGAAATCACATGAGGTTTGAACCTGCAACTATTGTTTTGTAACCATTTCAACCAAGTGGCATAGTGTCTTTATTTTTCATTATATACACACTACCACTCAAAAGTCAAGGGTACTTTTTTAAGTTTTTAAAATAGACACTTTAATTCAGCAAGGATGCATTAAATCGATCAAAAGTGACAGCAAATGTTCTTTTTAACTTTGTCAATCACATAACCCTGAAAAAAATGCATCATATCCACAAAAAATTATCTGGAGTGTGTGTGTGTGTGTATATATATATAT